ACACTTCCCAAAGGAGCAGCTTCCTTTGCAGCAATTAAAATTAAGCCATTTTTTTTTCCTGCTAAGGCCAGAAAAAGTAAGGTTTCTGTATTTTCTAAACCCTGTGTCCACAGAACTGAGACCCTGCACTGCGCCCCAGCATTCCTGACACCTTCAGCGGAAAGAAAGTCCCACGGTTAATGCTAGGTTCATGGTGATTATAAGAGTACCAATCTCCACCTCCATCCTTAAAAGCATCAAGCCTCCTCCTTAAAATTCCGCAGATTTCAAGGCAAGCACGGGGCAAGGGAGCAGGAGCACAGAACACGTCTTCCTGGGAATCTGTTTCCCGGAGGCCTGAGTGGCGGCAGCCTGTTCTGGATGTGGGAGAACAAAACGTACAAAGGGACCGGCTGGAGGGTCATTTAATGCACGTGCACTGAACGCCTGTATTAACGTGCCACTGGAGGGCGCTACTGAGCATTAATCAGCTTCTCACATGCGGTCCCACAGCAGAGGACGCCCCAAGGGAGACTTAACAGAAGGTTTGTGCATCACTCCGGAGGTGCCGGCCGGGCAAAAAACACCACAGTCACGGACGAGAACAACAATGTACTGACATTAACAACTACGCTAACACGACCTTGGCCCTCCAGGCGCTGCTTCTACAGCAGCTCACTACCCTGGCCTGGCCTGCTAGGTAGCCTCTGCCCCTGCCCAGGTGACAACTAGCCCGAGTGCATCCAGCCAGGACCAAACAGCAGCAGCTCCACCCCCCAGAGCGCCTCCTGCAGGGATGCACTTTCACCTGTCTGTCCAGGGACTAACCTGGAACCTTCTAAAGGGGCCCCAGGAGGAAGGTGCTGCCACAGTGTTAAATTTACAAACCAGGGGGAGATTCAGAGAAGGCCGTGCTGGCCCAAACCCACACCGCTGTGACGGAAAGCCTGGGATTTGAACCTACTTGTCTACGTTTCCCCAGAGCCCGTGGTCAGCCGAGAGTCTCTGTTTGCTAACTGCACTGTTCCGGAGGTGGGAGAATATTTGCATCCCCTCCGGTTCCCGCCAACACAGGCATGGAGTGTTTTGCACAGAAGCCCAGGGCACTGGCTGGAGGCCTGAATGTCCCCTGATGGAAGCCACACCAGTATGAGAAAACGCAAAGCAGAGACTTAGATAAGCCAGGCCCCCAGAGCTCTGCTTCCCCCGCCACCCAGGCCTGGGGGTTCTGAGGGACCACCCATCGTCTGACTCCTAGCCCACCTCCTCTGAGCTGTGTGACCCTGGGCAAGTTCCTTAACCTCTCTCTTCAAGCCTTAGTTTTCTCATCTGTAAAATGGAGATGATAATAACACCTCCTCTATCGGTTCCTGTAAAGATTAAATGAAATGAGGGAAAGGAAGCAAAACATATTGTACGGGGTCCGCACTTAAAAGGGAAAGTTGTCACTTGATCACTCTGTAGTATATACAGATGTCGAATTACAATGCTGGACACCTGAAGCTTATATAATAATAATAAAAGAGAAAGCTGTCGGGCATCCTTAACTGGCATGCACACAACCCAACTGAAGCAAGACAGTAATTTCTAGAACTTGCCCACTGTGTGAGGCACGGGAGCTAAGGGTCTGTAATACCCTGCGGATTCACTTACACACGCCGTAAAGGTGAGCTGGGCTCCCATATAGAAAGGGGGTGACCATGATCACAGGGCTTTACTCCTCCTTTACTCCCAAGCTGACTCCAACTTCATGCAAATCCCCAGAGCCAGCACACAGAGTCAGGGGAGACCGTGACCACTTCATCCAGAAAAGCCCTAGGAGCGCCCAAAAGATGAAAGAGTAAAGGGTCCGGGGCTTCCCTGGTGGCACAGTGGTTGGGAGTCCGCCTGCCGATGCAGGGGACACGGGTTCGTGCCCCGGTCCAGGAAGATCCCACATGCCGCGGAGCGGCTAGGCCCGTGAGCCATGGCCGCTGGGCCAGCGCGTCCGGAGCCTGTGTCCCGCAACGGGAGGGGTCGCAACAGTGAGAGGCCCGCGTACCGCAAAAAAAAAAAAAAGAGTAAGGGTCTGGAAATTTTTAAAAATACACAGTAGGAAAACACCGACTGCACTTCAGGATACGGTGAATGGCACGTTGCCACAGCAACCAGAGGCTGAATTATTCAGCAAGCGATGGCAGAAGAATCTCTGAAAGGCGGCAAAACAAAGACAAAGGATCCAATTAAACCATTTCTGCAGGGGAAACAAACCGGGCCAGCCAGGAAGGCTACGTCTGCCTGCCTGGGATGTGACTTCTCAACCACGCTCTCTTCGTGTCTAATTCTGGGGTCGCTTTTCCGTTTTTAAACATGGTGACAAACATCCAAGGAGCTACTATGTTCTAGTCCAAGCTTTAAAATGAGTTACAGATTCCGTCCAGGGCCTGTGTCTGGGGTATCACTTAATTAGGAGTCCTTTGAGGTTTCCCAGCACCCCACCTTTTCCCACCTCCCATCTGCACTGGGAAACAGGAGTGGGGTCCCCAGAGTTCTCTTAAGCCAAGCACCATCATGACCATTTTGTTATCCTTGAATCACATATGCTACAATGTTTACTATTTTTTTAAATTCACTTAATATTCTATCTTGAAAGAGAAGTTGGTTTGTTTAGCAAATAGAAAACCATTATCGCTTGGCCTAATTAGATGACAACTGCAAAAATAATACGTGTAAACATCATTTTTTTTGACTTTCGGGCAGGGAAGGATGTTTTAAAACATGGCACAAATAATATGGACCATAAAGTATATCAGGGCCCAGGAAACTCTGCCCCGTGGGCTGCTGTTTATGTTTGTACATAAAGTCGCATTGGCATGCAGCCACACTCACCACGCACTGGCCACGCGTTAGCGTGACGACAAGGTCGTGTGGCCACAGGGACACAGTAGGATCCACAGAGCCGGAAATATTCAGTATCTGACTCTTCACAGGAAAAGTCTGCTGACACCTGAAGTATATGAGCGATGATCTGATCACTTTAAAGACAAAAAACTTTCCCACATCAAAGGAAAGCATGAACAAAACGGCAATACCAGTCCTGAAGAGGGAGAAGAGGTGTGATTCACAGACCTGGAAAAGACCGGAAGCTGCAGTTTCCAGGGTAAAATCCTCAAATCACCAAGATAAAGAAAACTGCAGGTAATGCACATGAAAGGAACTGAAAAAAACCAGACAGCTAATAAACACTGAAAAAAAAGTTCAATCTCATTAGAAACGAGAGGAAACCAGGCCTCGTGCGATGGTGCATCCCGTCCATGAGACAGGCAACAAGGACACCAAGCTTCATCTGCCAGCATATCCCCTTGGCCATGAGATCGATGCACCTGTGTTTCCACCCCTCCTTCCTTCCCACCCATAAGCATTTACTGAGCACCCATCTGGTCTGTACAAAGCCCCAGGGTGGGTACCAGCCACGCAGGAAGAGGTCTGAGGATGCTTCCGGGAATATGAAGCTCAGGGGAGCTCTCTCCCTCATTACCCACAACTGTATCTCTAGCAACGGCCACGGCGCCTGCCTGCCCCTCATTTGAGTAAAATAAGCCTTTGCTGAACGACCAGATGCAGAGTGCTAAGTACGTGGTGGGTTGACAATCTCACTGCAATCAGGCTAAGAACGTCCAACCTGCAGAGGCCCCTCAACCCGTTAATATCAGGGAATCCGTTAAAATCCCCCTCTCAGCCCAGAGACTGATCAGGTCGGGGTGGGGCTCATCAATCTGTATTTTAAAAAGCTTCTCCCTGGTCTGGGTTCAGAGCTGATACAGGAGGAGGGGCTGAGGACCCGGCTCCCAGGCCCCACGAGCCATGGTGAGCACCGACTTACTGAGCACCTACTTTGTGCCAGGGCTCGGCCATACGCCTTCCTTACGGGATCTCCCCCCCAAATTCACAATGACCTAGAGAGCATCAGCACCTCACTTTATAGACGAGAAAGCCAAGACCCGGGGAGGTAAGGCAGCTGGTCCAAGGTCCCCCAGCACGTCAGCACAGAGCAGGGCTATGTGATTCCAAGCCCTCAGGACCCCAGCTGGGGACCCCGGCTGCCTGCAGAAATGTGCGCCACGCTGAGCCCGCCCCTCCTCCACCGTGATCCCACAGCTGGTATCATCCCCATTTTACAGGTAAGAAAGCTGAGGCCCACAGAATCACAGCATCTGGGCGCTGGGCTTCACCCCCTCACACTCATTGCCCTCCGCTCTGAAAAAACTCAAAGGATTTCAGAGGGTGGCAACACGGGGGCCCAAGCTCCCCGGCAGAGAGCAGAGACAAGGGCCCGTCCACCCGAAATGAGAAGACCTGAGCCTCAGGCAGAGGAAAGACCACCTGGAGAAGAAGTCCAGGGTGACCTTCAGATCAGGGGTCCTCGACTGGGGGATGGCTCCGTCCCCCAGGGGACACTTGGCAGTAACTGGAGACACTTTTGGTTGTCACCATGGGAAGCAGGGTGAGGGGCTGTGAGCATCTCCAGGGTAGAGGCCAGGGATGCTGCTAAATGTCCTACCGTGCGCAGGACGGCCCCATCAGTGTCATCCGGCCCCGAACGTCAGGGGCCCCGAGTTCGGGAGATCCTGCTCCCGGCCCTCGCTCCTCCGGAGGGCAGGGGGTCGCCACAGACCAGTAGCACCGGCAGCCCCCCGGAGCCTGTCCACACCAGAGGCCTTGCTTGGCTTCTATAACCAATACTTCTCCACAGGGAAGAGGGGCCCCCAGCGGGGATCGGGCAATGTCTGGGGACAGTGTCGGCTGTCACAGAGGCGTGCAGCCTGCAGAGGCCAGGGAGGCTGCCAAGCATCCGACAGTGCCCCGACGGCCCCAGTGGTGAAAATCCATCTGGCCCTGAGCGCTGACAGTGGCGAGGCTGGGAAACCCGCCCCGGGCACTGCGTTTGGGGCCGGGACAGCGCAGTGTGGGGAAGGTGGGACATCCGAGGGGTCGGGCTGCAGGGCCGGGACCAGCCCCCACTGTGTCCACGCGCCACTCACTTGGAGAGCTTCATCTCAACCTGCTGCCGGATCTCCTGCCTCTCTTCGGCCGTCCTCCTGGGGAAGATATTGCGGTCCTCCAGTTCCTGCTTGCTGGGCCGGTTCCTCAGTTTCACTGCCAGGAGCTCCTTCTTGCACTTCCTCGGCAGTGTTCCTAAGAGAAGGGGCACCGAGAAAGCGGGTGTCAGGGGGTCGCTGGCTGCCAGTGCAGCGAGCACTTCCCACCCTCCTGCAGGAAAGAACCTGGACCAGAGCCACGCGGGCACGTTTGGCAGCTGTGATGCCCTCCAGCGAACGGTGGGCAACGCACCTCCCTTCACGAAGGCCCACACACAACCACGCCTTCCACAGGTGCGGGATCGTTCATGCATCCGGGGTCTCGAGAGGCAGTCCCGATCGACACCCTTTGCCCCAGAGCGATTACTAATAGCGCCACGTTTTCTTTCAGAAGTGCCCGGGTGCAGATCATAAACTACAGTTACTTTACCCATGGTGGTCCCTCCCCTCATCCCCCTGTCACCCTCCTCTCCCCTCTGCCTGTGACCCCGTGGCCATGTGGGTCCTCTTCCATTCCTGGACGATCCCAACTCAGGGTCTCTGCACCATGTCTTTCCCATGGCGACCCCCCTGCTCTGCCTGGACCATCCAGGGCCGGCCACCTCCTGAATCACGCTGCTGGCCTTGAGCCCTGCCCTCAAAGAGGCCCGATGGGTCCTCCAATCACCATCACCCACCCGATTAACTCCTCCCCTATCTGGTCTCTTTCTTGTTCACTAGCTTATCCTCCATCCCCTCCACTAGCTTTTAAGCTCGACAACAGTCTGTTCTCCTGGGTCCTGGAACAGTGTTGACGTAGCAGGTTATCAAGGAACACGGCTGAGTGAGCCTGGTTCAGGGTCTAGGAGGCTGACATTGACTTTCAGTTCTACACACGTCCAAGCAGCAGAGTGACATCGGTGTGCATGTAAGGTCTTAAGGAACGACGTTTAAACGTACTGAAGAGCAGAAAAGGGGGCTGGCTGCATTCACGGGCAGAAAAGGAAACGGCATGGAGCTGCATGAAGAGCAGAGTCCTTACCTGCCCCGCAGCGAGCGCCCGTGCTGGTAACGGGCAGGGAACTCCAGAACACAGTATAGACTGCAGTTTTGCGGTGTGTGGTCTCGCGCTTTTACTAGGGCATGGGTTTAAATCCCGGGGGCTCAGACCATCATCCAATGAGGTCAACCCCACAGGTGGAGGGAAACTTTATTTCTTAAGAATAATGGCTCCCCAAAGAAAGCCCATTGCTACTGTGGGGTACAGGAATACAAAGCAAGAAATGCCTACTAAGGTGATAGTTTAACAGAAGTCTGGGATAAAGTAAGATATAAAAAATTGGACTTGACTGAGCCTTGAGTTTCTAATATGAACTTGTTTGCTGTGCGTTTTATTAGAGACAAAGAGAAAAATAATGACCCCCAAAGCCATTTCAGCCAGGACTCCAGCCCAATTTTGTTTTAATAGCTTTATACATGACTAGAGTCCTGTATTTATAGAATCATGAAAGCCTAAGGCAGTCACACGCATTTTTCTGTTGATCTTTACTGCATGGTCTGGGGGAAATTGAAAGCTAAACTGGCATTTATGAACTGAGAGAGTCTCAAAGGTCTCAGGACAAATCCTTCGTGAATGTCAAAGGTCTGATAGGTGGCGAGAAGGATTGCCATTTTTAGACAACTGTAATATGCTGACCATGAAACTACACTGAATGTGGTTTCATCTTTTTAGCTTTCGATGAAGAATGTCTTTAAGCCTACTGCAAATGTCTCGGCATACTTGTCATCACAAACTTTAAGCATATTTGTTCTTAACTGAGAGAAAGATCCTTTCATCAGAGATTTCTAGATGTAATGAGAATTCACTCCACAGGAAATCTCTGTGCTAAGAGCAATTAATTCTCCTCGGCTTATTCATCCAGGCCCTAAGAGCACAACATGGCACCCAGTAGGGCCACAATGAAAACGTCTGGGCTGACGGCCTTCCCCAAGCTATCAGGAGGTTAACAGGTTTGACTACTTAAAAGTCAAAAAGGGAAACTTCCAGACAAATAGCTTAAAGTGAGGGCTTTTCATGAAGCTGAGGGGCACTTCTACACAACTGATGGAATTAATCTAAATGAGCAGGGGATCCAGAGCAGGATGTGACACTGAGAAACAGAGGCCAGGAGACCTTCCTGTCCTGACGATGGGAACAAGCTACCCTCTCCCCCAAAGGCCCCCAAACACACTTGTGATCCTACCTTTGGGGCCAGAAATCCCACTTCCAAGAGTCTGCTCCCAAAACAAATGGGACAAGCACACAAAACACACATAAGAGGGTGTTCACGCAGCCTCATTTACGAAAGAAAGAAATTAAACACAGCCGAAATACGGCAAGACAGCATGTGTTAAATTATGGCGCATCTGTAGCATGTGAATATCGTGAACCTATCATGAACCTAAAAACAGTGGTATATGCATTACTGAGGGACAAAAAGACAGACATGATATGTTGCTAAGAAAAGCAACTTGTAGGGAAGTATGTACTTTTATATATAAATATATCTGTGTATGTGTTTGCATCTAATTTTGTAAGAATTTATAATCTTCTTATAAATCGGCATAGAGATGCCAGGAATGGATTTTACTTATTAATTTTGGTTTTCTGTATTTTATTTTTAATCATCAACATAGCTTCCTTATATCAAAATAACTGTTTAAAAAGAAAGACCTTTGTGGAGTGACAGCAGTGAAGATAGTGGAAAATTCTCTCTATAAAAGCAACCAGAAAACTGCAAAATCATTAGAGTCAACTTTTTCAGAACTCTGTAAATTAACTAAAGGGTTGCAGCAACACAGGGAATCTTTATTCAAGGAAAACTGGATGAATCTCAGGAAGAATGTTTTACTCAGTCCCTTTCTCCCCTGGCCCTTTCTCCAGCTTGGCAGCAGCCTTGAAGCAGTCTGTTTTCTGCTGAAAACCAGGGACCTGGCAGCCACCGGAGGGAGGGGAACAGGCTTCATTCCCAAAGAGCTGTCATCATTTGACCTGTCGCTGGTTCCCTGAAGTCCCCACTGCAAGGCTGTCCACGTTGGATCTGACTCAGAGCTGGCCCAATGCAAAACTACCTTCTCCCCGGGGGCGTGCTTGTCAAAAACAATACTGTCTTTCCAAGCGCAAGGCTTTCATTTATCTTTAGACCAGTCTTCCTCAATACTCTATGGAGTTGTTGATTGGCCAAAGCCAATAAAAATCAATGCATAGGCCAAATACTGTAAGTCAATTAAAAGAAAAACCTTAGAAGAGAAAAAGGGACTGAGAAAATATTTGAAGAGATTATAGTTGAACACTTCCCTAATATGGGAAAGGAAATAGTTAATCAAGCCCAGGAAGCACAGAGAGTCCCATACAGGATAAATCCAAGGAGAAACACGCCAAGACACATATTAATCAAACTATCAAAAATTAAATACAAAGAACAAATATTAAAAGCAGCAAGGGAAAAACAACAGATAACACATAAGGGAATCCCCATAAGGTTAACAGCTGATCTTTCAGAAGAAACTCTGCAAGCCAGAAGGGACTGGCAGGACATATTTAAAGTGATTAAGGAGAAGAACCTACAACCAAGATTACTCTACCCAGCAAGGATCTCATTCGGATTTGACGGAGAAATTAAAACCTTTACAGACAAGCAAAAGCTAAGAGAATTCGGTACCACCAAACCAGCTTTACAACAAATACTAAAGGAACTTCTCTAGGCAGGAAACACAAGAGAAGGAAAAGACCTACAATAATAAACCCAAAACAATTAAGAAAATGGTAATAGGAACATACATATCAATAATTACCTTAAATGTAAATGGATTAAATGCACCAACCAAAAGACACAGACTTGCTGAATGGATACAAAAACAAGACCCATATATATGCTGTCTACAAGAGACCCACTTCAGACCTAGGGACACATACAGACTGAAACTGAGGGGATGGAAAAAGATATTCCACGCAAATGGAAGTCAAAAGAAA